CTGGCAAATAAAACTTAACATACATGTATAGAACTTGTTATTATCCCATCTGGAAATATAAATACAATTCAAAAGCAAGGCTTATTCACAAACAAACTTGGCTTTTAAATGGTGTGCCTGCTATCGACTTTCAAGTTAATGTAAATTTGTTCAAATCTGTTCAGTCCTTTATCTCCCAATCAAACCGCTTTTCTTAATTTTTTTCCATTTTTGTGTGATTTTGCTTGTACCTGTCCTTTTAATTCTTTTTTCTTTTGTTATATTTGTCTTTTTCTGATTGTGTGTTATTGTAATTGTGAAACAACGTAAGCTCTCTAGATGAGCATCTGCTCTTAGAGCAAATGTTGAGAATAAATATTGTTTAAATAAAAATAAAAAAAACTAAATTATTGTATAATTTTGCACTACTGACAGGAGGAACAAAGGCAAAAAGCAAAGCAAGCCCGGGAAGACTTGCGCAGCTTCCTGGAAAATCACAAGAAGATGCACTCATCAGTTCGTTGGCGTAGAGCTGGTGAAATATTTCAGGGTGAACTGGTTTGGGAAGCCGTTCATGAAAGAGACAGGAAGGATGTGTTTGAGGATGTTGTGTTCTTCCTGGCAAAGAAGGAAAAGGAAGAGGAGAAAGAACAACGAGCGCACAACAGAAAGCTGATGTTAACAGTGTACAATACGATGCCTTCTATTTCTTACAGGACCACTTGGGCTGAAGTAAGCTTGCTTGCAAATACAGTGCCCACATTTTCCAATGTTAATACCTAAGGGGAATTGCAGTTTAGCTGTTTAAATGATATCATCTACCTGTATGAAGGTGGGAGATGCGGTGGTTTAATGGTTAGCACATTGGATTCCGGATCGAATGGTTTGGGTTCAATGGTAATGGTAATGCCATTTATATAGCGCGTTTTCTATATAGTATATCCAAATGCGCTTTACAATTCAACTCAGGGGTGACATCGGACGTCAGCCGCTATCAGTCCATTCATGATCTCACCCCACCCAACCCATGAATACATGTGAACAGGCCAGACTACAACACCGGGGACTACATCCCCTACTCTTTTCTAACAGTGATGTGGGTTCTTTAACGTCCCCTACTAATTTGGTACACTATGAAGAGATGTAGGAGACAAGGCCAACGACTTAACACCTGAACTGAGACAAGGTGTTGAGCACAGCCAGCATGATCTTACCAGTTATTTTAAGACCCTGGTTTGTGGTCCGGCCGGGATTCGAACCCGCAACCTCCCGCTCTGCAGTCTGGCGCCCAACCAACTGAGTTAACCAGGTGGCCAGGGTCATAATGACATTGTGTTGCGTTCTTGGGCAAGACACTCTGTGCCCCCCTCTCCACCCAGGAGTATAATGGGTACTGGTGAACTGTTAGGACAACCTGACACAATGCCGAGGGCAGCCTGCAATTGACTAGCATCTCATCCAGGGGGAGTAGTAATACTCCTAGTCGCCAGTTAATTCATGCGCCACTATAGCTGTTAACAACATCGCTTCTTTTTTTTAATGTCAAGTATTTCATGGATGCTTCTTACATGTAACTAAAAAATTTAAACTGTGTTATATAAAGGTCAGGATACAGCTTAACTAGGCCTGTATTGAGTTCTGTATTTATTTATTTGGATTTTGTTGAACAGGCTTTGCAGATGCTTAAGGAACACCCAACTTATAAAGATGATGAGGAAATCCGAGGTAAAGTATAGCCCTTATCTTTAAAATAAAAGTGATGAATATGAATGAAATCATAATGAACTACAGATACAATGTAATATAAAGTAAAGAAATGATCCTTGCAGTTGTTTGCAATTCAGGGCTTCAATTCTTATTTTTGTTGGCTATTCAGATTGTGAAAAAGAAGACATGTTGATATCATTTGAGGAGCATATTAGAGCTCTGGAACAAGAGGTAGAAGAGGAGAAGCAGAGAGAGAAGAACAGAGTCAAACGACAGCAAAGAAAAAACAGAGAAGGATTCCTGGTGAGTGACTTAATGTTTCTCTTTAACCCTTACCGGTCCTGGAGTTTTATGTTGGTCATCATCATTATGTTGGTTATCTCTGTAACTGGCTCAAATGCGAAGCGCTCAGTTTTCAGTTTAATATCCCGCTCTCCACCATGTTTTTCTTTTGCAATGTTTGATGGGAATTTGTGACTTGACTGTGTTGTTTGCGATTTCAATATGAAGTCTACAGACGGAGATTTTGTGGTAAATTTGTATCACGATGCTGACTTCAGCCAACATAATGAAATCTTGTGACTATGCACTTATGTCATAATCTCCCATTAACAACCGCATCGCTAAATGGAGGTTGGGTGCCTGGGACATCCAGAAGCTTCCACTTCTGGCAGAGCCAGCTCCTAGATGGAGAAGCACCCCCATGGCTGGTAAATCCTGGCAACCGAGCCATTAGCCCCCACACCAAGGGAAAGAGGCACCAGTCACACTGACAAGACAGTGGAGAAAGGAGGGAGACGGGGTCGCTGAGGTATCAACCTGCTAGAAACCTTCAAAACCGCCAGCTCAGACACGCTTATCTCTTGAGTGCACATGGAATCCTGGCACATGCATGCCTGCCTGATACTGCTCTCTGCTGGATGTTCACTGGCATTCTTTGTTGTTAACTCCTTTAAATAGCACACTTGCATGATGTCAACATTTGACTACAACTACCAGAATTCATTTCATTTTTTCTTTCTTATTTAAATTTTGAAATCTCAGTGGGGTATAAATAACAATGGCCCTAATTATCAGGAGAAAAAGGAAAACAGAAGGATTCTGGTAATTGTAGTCAAATGACGTCATAGTGTAAATCGCCTATTGCATTTAACCAGAAGCTTATCACCTAGAAGCGTGTAACTTCTCTTTATATGTTTGGGACAATGCGTGGGTTTTTTCCCGACCAATCAGAATCGCTGAATCAATTTTGCCCTTATATGGAAACTAGGATTTTCGCGCTCCTCGCGAGAACTGCATCTGTAATGGCTGCTTCGCGAGGAAACTTTTCGCTCGAAGAAAATATTAGGACATTTGTAATGCTGGGAAAGCGCTAAGTATTTGGAAGATTTCACGGTGAGTTGACAGAAACCTTGAAGGTTTATTTCGACTTGTCCTCAATTAGTTTGAATCGGTGAAATGCATGCAATAGCTTGTTGAGTTGTTGTGAATAGCCAAAGTGACAATATTTTCGATGGATAAGCTAAATACGCTGTGTTTCAGGATTCCTTTGATTTTATATTTTCGGAAAGAAAAAGACCCGCATGTGGTACGAGTTGAGGAGCTAGCCAGCTAGCCGGGATATGTGAGATACAGTAGAGGAAATGCCATCGCCGGGTAAGGATCTTGTGTTTGTTTTTGTTCGCTGTCAACAGTTGTTGATTTCAAAGAACCGCAAGTAAATCTTTTTGCAGATTTTTTGAGCAAGAGGACATTATTGTAGTCAAAATAACGGCAGTATCAATCGAGGAAACAAGAAAACTACTCCTTTATCCGAAAATTATGAGTATTTTTGTAAATATGTTTTGGTGTTCACTTAGCGTGTTTGTCGACAGAAATAGCGTGCGGTAAGCTTAATCGTGGTTGTTTTCAAGTTCTCTTGTAGATTTTTTGTGAGAAAGGTAATTTTAAAACTTACAGTCAAAGTAGCGACTGTATCGCTTTAACAAAATAGAAAGCTATTTCACTGCAAACGAATTTGTAAAAAGGTGTGTTTGAACGAGTTCTAGATCGATCTAACGCGCGGATGATAATTATTATTGTTGTTTACAAGTTTGGTTTATATATAAAGAGCAAGGTTTGAGGGCCGACAACCTCTTTAAGCTTGAAATGGGTTGTTTAACCTGTCTAGTTAGTGTACAACTGAATTGTATAAATCGATGATTCATTTATTTCACGAGCTTGTAGCTGAGGATTTGTGTTCGCAAAGCTTTCTTTCGCTGTCAAACTGTCGAGTTGTAATATTAATTTCAAAACAACCGCTTCCAGTAGCTTTAAGACTTTTCCCAACAAGAAAACAGCCGTTATTTCGATCAAACTATCGACAGTCGCTTCAGAAAAACCAGATAGCTCTCCTTATCCAAAAATGTGGGGGGGTTTTTTCTCGTGGGTAACGTTTGTACAATGTTTTTGTGCTACGTTTTTGAGAGATTGTTGTCGATCACGCGGGGAAGAAATTTCATTTTTCATGCATTTGCCGTTGCGCTTTGAGAGCAGTTCTTCAGACCCGAAAACCACCTTTAACACTTTAAAAAGTTGATTAACCTATACTAATATTAACGTTTTACCGATTTGTCTTTTATTTAGCCGTATTTAGTGAGCTTGTCGCTTTAAATTTGTCTTGCGGCAAGCAAATTTTCCACTCGTAAGTTTTCGAAATTTTGTGGCTAGAAAATATCGTATCATGAAGTTGTAGAACACAATAAAAACACTTGCTTTGGTGTTGATGTTTGATTTTTTTGATAGAAAAGATATGTAATGAGTGTGTATACTTTATTAAAGGTGGCTGATTCTCAGAATTGCAGACAAGATTCCCGGAAAATCGACTACGCAGTACGCACCTCGACGAATAAAAATATTCCCGGAAAAAATCCCGCGCGCAAACACGCGCGTTAAACCGCATCTGCCATTCCATATAAGGAAGTTAATTTTGATTGGTCGGGAAAAAACCCACGCATTGGATCGAACCTATACGCTTCTAGGTGATAAGCTTCTGATTTAACTGCATTCAAACTTTGTGGAAAAAATGTGTGACAAGCGGGAAATTTGAAATAACAAAAAAAAAAAGATTGAAACAAAATGCCCAGTATTCAAACTAGTTAAATAATAATATTATTGACTTCCAACACCTAAAACAGTTTTATACAAACACCAACTTATGGTTTGGGTTGTGGCCATTGTTGTTGTGTAGTTGCCCTTGAAGTGTCACTCCTTGGTCTGCAGACTGTTGATCGTGATTGTGCAGATAATACACTACCCAGAAAAAGAATACTGAGTTCTCCCTTCAGGAGTTGAACCTATGACCTTCCGAATCCCATTTGAATGCTCTACCACTAAGCTACAGGAGACTTGTGGCATCCGACCGGTGTGTGGAAGGTCAAAGGTTTGATTCCTGTTGGGAGAACCTTTTTTACAAGTAGCTTGTGTCACTGACTGAATAATGTATTTCTCATTGTGTAACTACCAAGCTTAACATTTACCATCATTTATTTCCATATAATATTATTGTTTCTTATCACTGCAGGTATTACTGAATGACTTGCAAAAGAGAGGCAAACTTCACTCCATGTCTCTATGGATGGACTTGTATCCAACCATCAGTACTGATGTGCGCTTTAAAAACATGTTGGGCCAACCTGGTTAGTTCACTTTGAGTATTTTGTAAAGTTACGTGTTCAGTCAGGAACCACCATATGCAGGCACTCCTGTTAAGCTACTGTTGACATATAATTGAAGGGCATGCTGGAATAAGGGCATATGTAACAATAGAATTCTATTGTCGTTATGCCCTTATTCCAGCACGCCCTTCAATTGAAAAGCAGAAGGGTCAAAGGGATATGTTCTTCCAAGCAATGTGTATTGTGTACTTGACCCTTTCTTAGAATAATTTATTAATTAGAAGGTTAAGTCTGTTTCAAGCCTAGTACCTCATCAGTGCTGGCATTTAACTCTAGTTTCTGTAGAATGAAAGGTCTCTTTTTCTACCCTGCCCCACCCTTAACAATGTGCCGGTATTGTTCATTTATACTCCTGATTGGAGAGAGGCACTCTGAGAGTAAAGTGTCGTGCCCAAGAACACGACATGAGGACACTGGCCATGCTCGAACATGGACTCGAACATGGCCTTCTCAACCTGTAGTCCTACATACTAAACACCAAAGTACTGCACCTCGTATCACTGATAAATTATTCCTTTATTTCAAACAGGTTCTACGCCATTAGACCTTTTCAAGTTCTATGTGGAAGACTTGAAAGCCAGATTCAGTGAGGAAAAGAAAATAATAAAAGAAATATTAAAGGTAAGTGCTAGACTAGATTTATGTACATGTAACTATCATTGAGATGAGAGTTTGCTGAATTTCTCTTTAAAGGGAACCATTTTGGAAAAGAAAGATGTTTGTTATAATTTTGTACTTTTTTAACAACTGTATCGCTTATGGAGGTTGGGTGCCTGGAATATCCAGGGGCTTCCACTTTTGGCAGCCAGCCCCTAGATTGAATAACGCCCCCATGGCTAGCACGACCCCGCAACCCAGCCATGAGCCCCCACACAAGGGAACAGGCACCCGTCACACTGACCTGTCAGTGGAAATAAAAAAGGGAGAGGAGGGGGGGGGAGAAACTATCGATCCAAAGCTCTCCACGCACAACGCTGGGCAAGAAACCTCACTGCCTGGAGAAACACGCCACACGAACGAAGCAGAGAACTACTGCACATGCGCCTCACGACTGACCACTGACCACCGGTACTCCTTCCCAGACCCCTGGCGCTCTAGTTGTTAACTCTTTTAAATTGCATTTAAATGCATTAAACACGTCGATTGTACTATTCTACACACGTTATCTTAAAGCCCTGGCTAAAATGATTTAGCATTGTCCGACACACAAAATGTTGGACAGAAATGTTCGAACTATAAGCCCTTTTCATCCAACATTTTGCATGGCTTAGCCATTCCATCCAACAACATCGGATGGAAATGTTTGATTTTAGCCAGAGCACAACAATTTTATCACACCCAAGTGATTTGATGGCAAAAGTGTTGATGTAATGTAAGTGACCTCTAATATTTACTTCAAAACAATTTCTCCTGAAGCCAAAAGCCCATTTCACCCAATGAAAACAGGTCTGTAAGTTTACTTTGAACCAAAATACAAGACAAACATGGCAGAGGGGGATGATGTCTACTGTTGCCACCTTTAAAAAGTCCTTTCAAATGTAAAATGATCTAAAATGTCATAACCTTTCTTCACAGGATCATGATTACATGGTTGATGTGAATACTGGCTTCAGTGAGTTCAATGATCTTGTGAAAGGAGATCACAGAAGTGATACATTGGACCCTGGGAACATTAAGATGTCTTTCAACCATGTAAGTATGGTTACTGGTTTTCGGCAGGTCCATGTGAGAAGTTCTTTAAGTGTTTCCAATTCTTATTGTCCAATAAGAAAACTAGAGTCAGTGGAGATCAAGTCTCGCTTTTAACAAATTCTTGTATAACTGCTCATGCTCTCTTAACCCTTTCGCTCCCAGAATCAAGCATCAAATGAATGATTGTTTCTAACTTTTTAGTCTGTGGATCAAACCCTAATATATGTGACCATTCAAATGAAAGCTAATGAGCAGTGCTTTCATGTGGTACCGTTTGTTTTTCCATATCTTGAATAGTGCAATTTCGGATTTTATTGACTTTTGAGCTTTGACACTCCTGGGAGGGAAAGGGTTAATGTTGTCACATCTGCTTGTCAGGAATTATAGCAACATGATCCCTAGTGACTACCATGGGCTCTATATAGTTTTTCACCAAAAACGTATGTTGCCTGACTTTTTATGCAAAGGAAGTGTAGAACTTGATTATTCTGTACCTGGTAAACGTTAAATCTATTCCAATCGTAAGTATCAGAATGGCTCATTGGTTTCTTTAGCATGAAGCAACTTGGAGTACCGTAAACTGCTGCTTATATGCCCCCTCGGTTATAGGCCCATCTACCTGTAAACAAAAAAATACATCCGATTATAAGCCCCCCCCCCCCCCCCCCCCCGGTTATAAGCCCCCCTCTAGTTTTCCTTTCTCACAGAACACTGTACTACTTCAAACAGAAAATTAGGAAAGATTGCGGAACAATAAGTTTATTACTATCTTATTATTAAGATCTATCTTTATATTACTATCTTGCTACTCCCCTGGATGGAATATCGCAGGCTACATGTACCTCCCAGGTTGTCCTAACAATTCACCGGTACCCATTTATACTCCTGGCTGGAGAGAGATGCACTGTGAGAGTATAGTGTCTTGCCCAAAACCACAGCACAATGACCCTGCTGGAGCTCCTGATCTGGCGTCCACCGTACATGTATTAACCACTAGGCCGCCGCGCCTCCCATGTAACTTGATTTGTAATAGCCTCTATTTTGTTTGTTTCTGTGGCAGCTTATTGAAAAAGCTGAAGCAAGGGAAAAGGAAAGAATGAAGAAAGAAGAAAGAGAGGTGAGGTCCCACTGTCATATTGCATGCTTTGCAGCCATTTGCTTTTTGTTTTGAAGGAAACCTCCATTGTTTATTGCTGTATGCTCTGATGGTTCAATAACCTACAAATAATGTAAATAAATGTATCTTTGCGCATTCTAGTTTAAACAATTTAATAGCTTGTCTACATAAGCAATATTCAAATCAGTGTGCTTTTTCAGATAATAGTAACAGTACTTTGTTCCATACCTATGAAATACTGCCTGAAAACAAACAACAAGAGATACTTTAGATACTTTATTTAATACGATGGAATTAGCATAGCTGGTGGGGTCATGTACGTTTTTGGGGGTGCTTGAATTTCAGACTTTTCTCTTGTTGATCATTTAGCAAAAAAGAAGAGAAAGTTCCTTTAAACAACTCCTAAAATCGTGTACTCCAGCGATTGAAGAAAATTCAACGTGGGAAGAGGTAAGGAAGGATTATTCCCTTGCAAATTAAATATTTGTATCAGTGTAGAGAAACAATGGTCAAAATACAGTCGAAGCTCTCTGAGTGGACACTCTCGTAAGCAGACAGCTTTATTTACAGCCACCTTGACAAAACCCTGTTTGAACTCTAGCTCATAGAAACTCTGTATTTTATACATTCTCGTAAGTGGCCAGCTCCAGTTGCGGACACTTTTTCTGCTTTCCGTGGGTGTCCGGTAACAGGAGCTTCGACTGTAATACATTACAACTGAACAAACAAGCTCTGAAAGTAATGCTTGCATAGAGTGAGTGATAGAGTGGATTGAAATATTAATTCTCCTTACGAAATGTAGTGCTCATGGGAAGGAGGAGTTGTGCTGCTATAGGTAGAAAAATAGTGAAGGTTGAAGTTTCAATTTTGTGACAAAAATTTGGATTAGCTACTTAAGAAACGATGCAGCCTAACCATATAGACAACATGGCCAGTGATCACAGCCTGTGGTAGAAGGTTGTTGCTGCCCAGCAGAGGTTGGAGTTATTTTAATCTCAGTACAGCGACTTTAATTTGTGGTCGCCCACAAATGCTGCCGATGATGATGATGATATTGAATGAATCTGTAACAACCAAGGCTGCAAGGAAACTTGAACTCGATCAGGCAAAATGGATGTTGCTCTGGTCAAACGTCATTCTAACAAAGGCTGTACAGAGGAGACTTGTTCCCAAGGACAACAAGCTTCTCTGTTTCTCCTGATTATTTACGTGTCTTTCTCCTTGAACAGTTACTTCCTAACATGCTTGACATATAGCATAATTTCTTTCCAAGCACTTTTAACTAGCCCTGATCCATCACAGCTCCTTACACTGATGTTTGTTGTGGTTCACTAATGCCCAGGCGGAGAGGGACCATAATGTAAAACTTAACATGATATGTTTCTGTTCTCTTCCCTTCTATTTTAATAACCAGAATAACTGGAGTTATGGACTCTCTTAGACTTTCTCAAAGTTCTTCTGAATCACTTCTCGTTTCTGGAGTAGGAGTAGGTCTTGAGCTCTCGCTCACTCACGCTGTGAGCTTGACTTGTGGACAAGTCAAGGACTCTCTCTGTCCTGGCATTGGTGAAACCCATTATTGTTTGGCTTGTCACCCAATCATTAGTCCTTCAATGTTTGCAGAGAAAATATATCAACACACAGTCTTTCATCCAGGAAAGATTGCATGATAAAAGGACATAAAATCCATTATCACCCCTTAAGGCTTCAAAAGTGATGTAAAATTGATGTCCTATTTACAGGTTAGGGAAAGACTTGAAGATGATCCTGCCTTTGCAGCGATTACAGTGGAATCTGAACGCATAAGGCTTTTCAATGAACACGTTAGTTCCCTTGAGGTTGGTATACAGTTTTGCTTGAA